GCGACCTCCCTAACGAGGCCTTGGGAAGCCTCACAGCCCCTACCGCGCGCCCTTCTCGCGGCCGGCTGCCTTCTCCCAAAACGCCTTCTTTCCCCGGCTTCCAAGGCCCCTTCAAGGGGGCGCCCCTCCCACCATCCATCTTTTTGGGTTGGGCGCCCCCTCCCCCTCAGTATACACACTGAGCCCCTCTGACAGGCCTTTCCCTTCGCTGCTCATCTTTCGTTCAGCCCACCATCCCACTACGGGTCTTTTTCTTATCTGCCTCCCCTTCCCCTCCGGCGAGCCTCTCCTGCGCGTCCCCTTACCGCCCCTGCCCTCGGCCAGACGCCTCTCCTAGCCCTCTTCTCCCATCCCCCGGGCCAGGCCCTGGTTAAAATCCGAGCGGGCCGGCGGCCCCACCCCCACCCGCCACACAGTTCTCGCGGTCGGTAACCTTCTCGCACTGCCCTCGGGATGGGTAGCTCTTTTTCTGCCTTCCCTCCCCGTATAGTTTAAGAGCTCTCCCACGTCTCCTGTGCGACCCCGACGGTGGGGAGTAGGGCAGGAGGGATTGTCCCATCACCCACGCGCGCACTTGTCGCAGTGACCCGGCAGACCGGTGTGACTTCCCACCTGGGCTCTTTTCTCCTACCCTCCCTACCCAGCGGCAACCATCCTAGGCTAACTTGACTCTGCTCGCGAGAAGGGGTTGCGGATGGGTGGTGGCTGTTATCCTTGCCAGACCTGAAGGCCCAGTTCCTGAGCAGGAAAGGTTGTACGCTGCACAAATACTAGCTTGCTTTATCGCTATGGACTGGTTGCTTCCTGCTGCAATGCTGGGAGGATCCAACCTTTTGGTGTTTTTAGAACAGGAAGGAAAGAGTCCTAGTTGGCCACATACCTTTCCCCAAAGGTAGTGGGGAAGGCATGGGGAAGTTGTGTGCTTTCTGGTCAAATTAAATATTTTTTACAAGACGGAAATATGTCGTGCCCTTGGGCAAAACATATTTGAGGGTGGGGAGTAAAAAGAAGAATTGCTCGTTGGTTAGTCCGGAAAAAAATCCAAATAGTTTTTGTTTTTAATTAACAAAGATAAAAGGTAGAGTTTTCAATGAAGAAAGAGTACAGTAAATGCTTTTTTTGTTCAGTGAATGCGCGCTCTCTAATTCTCTTTCAATGTTCCTGAATTAGGAGGGCATCCATCAGTAGTATGCTGAACAAAGATCATTACCAGGGAGGAAGAAGCCATTGCCATTAAAGTGGAGGGTGGAGTTTAAAAAAAGTATTAAGCTTGGTGACTGTTTCTGACTTTGCCACTGGGTGCTAAGAATGTTTGACTAAACAAAGCAGGAACCATTACTTTACCAGTACTTTGCAAATCTTGTCTGACTAGTTGATGATATGCCCTTACCACCACTTAACTCTTCTGCGCCAGAAAATTTTCATGTAGGGTGAGTCCCTTCACTGTCCACCCCCACACAGTGGAAAGTCATTTACACAGAAGGGGAGTACTTAATTCATTTTACAAATACGGAAAGGAAGCATGGATTCATTTACATACTGTAGGCTGAGGGCATCTGAGGTCTGGTGAAATTTTTTGAGACCCTGGAGAAGGAGGTTTAGTCAGTAAAGGGAGGTTTGTTTTTACAAATAAGGTACAAAGGCAGTGGGCAGCTAGCTATTTTTGAAGTAATTAATTTAGAACAAGATAGACTTTCAGAGTATTTCCCCTCTTTGGTTTAGAACCTGAATGTTGGTTATAGAAGCCATTTATTGTCTCACTAAGAATATCAATTACCCTGGATTGGCTTAAGGAATTTTAACTTAGAACATCCTACTAACTGAAAGAGCGCAGGGCTTTGGAATCACACAGGCCTGGTTCATATCCTAACTCAGGTGTTAAATTTGCTACATGACCTTTGGAAAGTTGACTGTTTTGAGCTTCAGTTCCCTCATCTATAAAAAAGAAATGTACCCCTCAGGCTGTTTTGAGAATTAAATGAGGCTGGTTGTAAAATTTAAGCTTCTATAAGGACTCAGAACATGGTAATAATATGAAGTTGCTATGGTCCTTGTCTGTTTTTTAAACCTCTAATCTATAAACATAAGAGCATTTAAGTATTAGTAAAGAAACTTAAAACTAGGACCTTCTAAATAATTTTATATTTCCATGGGCTATGGTTTCATTTGTTGTACATTCTGCTGTTCAAGATAGGATGTTTTAAAATTTTTGCTGAGAAAGATTTCCACTTTTTTAAAGCTCTTACAGGATATGAGTCACTTTTTTTAACTTCAGTAATGATTATTTAGCCAATTTCCTATTTATACAGTTAGAATTTAAAGCGAAGCAACAGTAATTTGATTTTAAAATGGTTTCATTCTACATGGATTTACTCACTGAGACGAACTGCAGCTATTTACTTGGAAGAGGGCTTACCCAGCAAACTTAATAGTTGAAGGAATTGGAAGTTAGTTTGTAACTCTAGCCAGTTGAAAATGAAGGAATATTTTGGTTGGTGTAGAATGAAACAGTCCAAATGGGAATGTAATGTGGGAGAGCAGGAGAATTATTGTAAATTATGTGTTTGTTCCCGAAATAATTGTTGTTCTTTAGTTAAGATCAACAGTGAGACCTTTGGTGGTGGTGGTGGGAGATTAATTTTTTTTAACTTGACTTTTTATTTTAAAAACTTAATTCAACAAATACTTATACTCACTGTGGTTAAGGCCTTGTGGGACACATAAGTCAAGTAAACATCAGTAGTTCCTATTTACAAATTTTGTGGTAGACACCAATCCAATCAAAGTCACATTTTCTGAAAATACCTGGATACATGGTCTACACCATTTTCTTCTCAATCTTATTGAAGGTCAGTAGTAATTAACCATCAGCTGATTGTCATTGGAACTGATTATAGGAACTTTGCTGTCTTGCATCTTGATAGCTTTTCTTTCACAATTTTTGGTTGAGCAATTTGGGTTCTGCTGAATCTGGAAAAACTTGTCTAGACTTCAGCCTTATTGAATGCATTTTATTTTAAAGACTCTTGGTGAGGTTAGACTATGAATATAGTTGAAAGAATAGATAGATCTCCAAGTTTATTTACAAAAACCAGAATGAGAATTATCAGTTACTCCTTCACATGATAACTTGTTGGGCTAATGTACTATATTGATTTGTTGAATTATCTTTTAGTCTAATACATGAGTTTGCAAGAGAGTGTATAAAACTAAATGTGGATGAAGAGTTGCAAATTTTTATTAAATAATGGATAATGTGTATATTCTGTTTTTATGGCAATTAACAGCCTAATATTTGATAATCAGATTTTTAGTACTAGGTATTACATATGATACTTAAAATTCAGCAGATGAAGTTAACCAAGTGGTAATAAGTATTATCAAGTTACTTTAGAAATGCTATAGGTATTTCATATATAGATGCTGTCATTTAATTTATGTATGTATATGTTTTATATACGTCATGTAGATGGCTATAGTTATACCATGTTTAAAGTGGAGGTACTTTTAATCTAAGATAATAGTTATGGAAAATAGAAGAAAGTCACTGCAGATTCCTTCCTTGAACTATAGGATGTGACCATATAGTTTGTCACTTTTTAAAAAAGCAATTAAGTATTGTCATCTTAATGAGAGAAACTGTCTTGATTAGAAATTAAGTTTGAGTCCATGAACTTTTAAGCTTTTTGATTTGTCTTTTAAATCATAGCCAGTAAATGCTCTTCCGTTGTTTAGGTATTTTAATCCATTCTGGTTTGTTTATTTTTGGTGAGCCTAAATACCCTTCTTGATACGGTTTCTCATTTGATAACCGAATAGAAGCAACTTTCCTTACTGTGCCATTTCTTAACTTCATCTTGGCAGCCCTATTCTTAAAGAACCAACTATCTTCTGTTGTCACTTAAGATATAATCCTTTAACAAGTTTCTAGTCATAATTCTGGCAACCTTGTCCATGTCTAGTTGAGAGAGCTATTTTATACTGTATAAAGCATTCATGAGTCTTGAATTATTTTCATATAAGGGTGTTAATTTTTATGTTAAAATTAATCGGTTACATCGAGGGAAAAAAATGCCCTCACTGTCTTTATCACGATTTAAAGGTTTGTGGATGAGGAGATGACGTAATCATTAAAGTGGAAATCAAAAGGCAAGAAGCTAAAACTTGGAAGTACTAGAGTTTTTGTTGGTGGGGAAAGTATTCTTTGACTTATTTATTTTATTATCCAAAGGCATTCTAGATGTCTTGCTCTTTGGCTTTAAACTAAATGACTGGCTTCTAAATTGAGGTATCTGAGTATGTATGAAGTAGAAGCATTCAACTTTTTGGTTTTTCTCTTCTTTCCTATTTCTCTGTTACTTCAAGTGAGGCTTTTGTACCTCAGTGCTAGTGTGGGCCCAGAAAGTAACCAAAAGAGGTTTTCCTCAGCAGAACATCCAGCCTTTTGCACTAAGAGGCGACAGTGATTACACCGTACTAAAAGGGTAGACTTTATTACTGATACTGGCATTTCACCTCACATCTAGAATGGTAGACCTTGGAAACTAATGTATCAACCAACCGTCCTGTAAAATTGGAAGTGCGTTGTTTTTGTATGTTACTTTCACGACCTTAGCATCTTCTTCCCCGGTATCCAGATTAAAGCATTTACTCTGTTATCTGTGCTTGCCATAATACCTTTGACACCTCTAATTGACTGTATAGCTAGAAATAACTATGCATTTTGCTGCATGGAGTCTTGGCTGCCTGGATGATTTCTTGCTGAATCAGCTCATAGAGGAAGCCAGAAAAATACGCATTTGATAATGTGCTGTCTCCAAGACTGTTCAGAGGCCAGGTTATATCCGCTCTTGTAGCAAGGAAGGAATGCACAATGGACTCTCTGCCTTCTGACCAGGGTACAAATGAGCTCACAGTTCTTACTTCCCTCACCACCCCCACCACCAAATCCCAGTCTCTCTAGTCTTATTAGTCTTATTCTTTGGCGTTATTCTGGCGTGTTTGATTTTCTAAATCAGTTAGCTGCTGTCTAAATCAGTTAGCTAGTAGGAATGAAGAAGCAGCATTAGTAGTTAACAGTTAAGTATATTTTCTGAAATGCTGATAAAAATTTTTACCAAGGAGAAAAAAAGTCAAGCTCAGATTCTGTAAACCTGTGAACTCATTTTGTTCTTTAAATTCAGATAGAAGGGCTTTAAAACAAGTTAACAGCCTATTTCCCCATTGTTTTGAAAGTGTAATTATCACTTTAGTGAAAAAGAATCAACATGTATTTAGCTAGTAGATAAATTGCCTCCTATAGTAATCATAGGAAACAAATTCATCTAACCACACCTGTTTTTAAAAAATTCATTAAGCTGTAAGTGAAAGTGTATGCCTTCCTTGCTTTGGCCCTGACTCAAGAGTAAGTCAGAATTATTAGTCACCTTTTTAGGGCATCTGTTAAAGTTAGTAGGGTGTTTGGCAGAGGTGTTTTGCCCTCCAGAAACAATCTGATAAAACTGAAAGGGTCATTGTAATTTCTGTGATCTGGGTGGCAAGGTTTTATAAAGTTGGTGCCTCTATGTTAATTCTTTCATTTTGCCTAAGTGAGTCCTGAGGTCACATCCAGACTGATAAGTCAAAGTAGAATATACTCAGCCTTTCCCTGTCCATCACCCACTAACATCCTTTGTTGCTTTCATGTCTGATACATTTTTAATATCACAGATTATTCATTTGGTTTGGAATTTTATCTTTCAAGTTATTACCTTCTAAGGTAGTAAGGCTGGTATAGCATTGATTGTTAATTGATGCATTAGCTGGTCATCAGTGCCTAGTGAACTTATTAAAATTTGCATGTGTAAGACCAGGTACTATATCTGTACTAAGCACATGATATGTGGTGGTCACTATGCAGGTAGAAAGAGGTTAAAATGAATAAATTGGTTTTATTGATTGGTAGCAGGTCAAGCACAAGGGCTACTCAACTCCCTACCTACCCTCATCCTTTTTTAAAAATCAGATGCCCTATCTTTTTTACTTTAAAGCATGGTGGTATTCTGAATGTGTTTGCCTTGCTCATCTGACATTAAGTTCTTTGTTTTTTCAGTTGTCCTTATTGGAGATTCTGGTGTGGGAAAGAGTAATCTCCTGTCTCGATTTACTCGAAATGAGTTTAATCTTGAAAGCAAGAGCACCATTGGAGTAGAGTTTGCAACAAGAAGCATCCAGGTTGACGGAAAAACAATAAAGGCACAAATATGGGACACAGCAGGACAAGAGCGATACCGAGCTATAACATCAGCGTAAGTCTCATAATTTTTCGGTTCTGTGAAATAGGCTGCTAAAGTCAATTTGCTGACTTTTGGTATCGGAAAAATGGTGCTGTTTTGTACTTACTTTTAAGAATTCCAGTATTAGAATTTTAAAATTTATTTAAAAGGGTGCTTAAAAATATATATAATCCATATACTTAGCTTTTTTTTCTGGTGTTCCCTTCCATCTTGTGATTGTTTTCTAATAGTTAAATACATGCTTCTGTTTTCAGATACTATCGTGGAGCTGTAGGTGCCTTATTGGTTTATGACATTGCTAAACATCTCACATACGAAAATGTAGAGCGATGGCTGAAAGAACTGAGAGATCATGCTGATAGTAACATCGTTATCATGCTTGTGGGCAATAAGAGTGATTTGCGTCACCTCAGGGCAGTTCCTACAGATGAAGCAAGAGCTTTTGCAGGTTAGTGATGAGAATTCCATGATATTACAGTGATTCTGTATTTCTTACTGTTAGATCTACAGTTTTGATAACCCTTCGCATGAGGATAATTGGTTACAGTTGTTTCAGAAAGGTAAACATGGACGGTCGGCAAGTTTTGTCGTTTTGAAAGTGTATGATGGCTGTATGACCCTTGCTTACCTTTGAGTTATTAGAACTCCAGTATTTCGAGTTTTTGCTGCCAGACATTGAAGATAAATTCTGTCGTTCTCTCCTTGTAAGGGGTAGATGAAATCTTTTTATTCTGTGCTTCCTGTCCCTTTTCACATTATGTCTGAGTTTTGCCAAGGCTGTTCTGTGTGGGTCTGAAAGGTAGTGGCTCAGGGAGTGTCAAGGACCAACAGGGATGTAGCTGCTTAGCAGTGAAAACTTTCCTGGCTTCATGGAGGACCCACCTCTGTCTTGCTTCCCTACTGGCAGGGGCAGCCTACAGAAGGCAGCATTGCGCATTCTTGACTAGAGAAAGTTGTGACATTCCACTATTGATTGTGCTGTGAATACAGTTTTTTGTCATGGTCTTTCAGTTTTCCAGGCGAGAAGCTTTATTTCAAACAATATAGTTGTGGAATTCTAAGCCAGTCACATATACCCTTCCACATTCCTGCCCTAGCTGTGTAGTTCATGAGGGGAAGGACAGTAAGGGATGGAAATAGCTGGGTGTTTGACCAGTTTACTGCATTATGACTAGTGTTATTCATTGTTCGTGGTAGTATTTGGATGTAACAAATATTTATGTTAATTAAAGAGGCCAATGACAATGTCTCTCTAATTTTTAATTTACCGAAGTAGAATGGTGCTCTTATTACTCAAGAAGTTAGGGAGGTCTTAGGTTTTAGGAAGTTCTGTTATTTTCCTTTTTGAGGGCTTGAGTGTATCACATCCCTTGTATTAAAATTGAACAAGACTGAAGTTTTTGTTTCTCCCCACAGAAAAGAATGGTTTGTCATTCATTGAGACATCTGCTCTAGACTCTACAAATGTAGAAGCTGCTTTTCAGACAATCTTGACAGGTAAGATGTGCGTTTTTAGATTATACCAGTGGGAATTGGGAGTATTGGGAAGGTCATTTAAACAAATTAATGAGGAAACTAAACTACAGAATCACACTATCTGAGAATGACTATCGTTTGAGAGCTGCTATTAGCAAGAGCTACTTAGACTACAAAATTAGTTAAAGCCCTTGCTTGTGGAGTTTTGGTCATCCTAATTCATCTGGTTTACAGTGGGAGAAGTACTTTCAAAATAATTTGTTCACTTATTACTTTGGTCCATGCATTCCATACTTGATGATCATAAGCACAAAGCAGTGCTTAAATGTACTTTATTGTAAGATAAATATTGAAATTCCATCTATGGAAAAATGAATACCCTTTTGAAATTCAGTAAAGAAAAGGCATTCTTGGTTCTGCTATATTATAGAAACACCTAGGGGAAAATATATACTTAGAAACCTAAATGAAAAAACAAAAAGTAAAATTCTCCCGTGCTATATTGTATAAGAAGCAAAGTGTCACCTGTGGAGAAAATCAGCCAGTGATTACATATTGAAAAATGTAAATAAATAGTGGGAAAGGAACAAAGTTCATGTTCTGGTATGTGGATGTATAGACCAGGTCAGCCTCAGGGATAGGAAGGCATTTTATTTGTGCTGACTCATATTTACCCTGACTTTATTAGAATGAACAATTTATCTGGAAGTTTAATCTTAATCCTCTAATAAGCACTTCAGTGAGTTTTTAAGTATTTTAAAAATGTATATTACTTTTAAGAGCTCATAATTTAGAGTGTAGTCTCACTATATAATAGTCTTACTTGGTGTTCTAAAAAGTATATATAGAGGAATGGTTAAATACATGAGTTTCCAATGATGATATAACAAGATTTTCATTCTTTGTAGCACTTGTATTAGAGGCGCAGATTTTGGCTTTTAAATGTTATCTTATATTACTGTAAAAATGTAGGGAATAAAACTTAGGTTTTCCAAGAGCATGGACTTAGAAGCCTGACTTTGGTTCTAGTCCTGGCTCCTCCACTTATTAATTCGCTCTCTAATCTTAGGCAAGTTACTTAACCTTTCCAGGCCTCAATTTCCTCATATGTAAAGTAGAAATATGTTTTGGGGAGTTCTGTTAATTTCTTTTTGAGAGAGGGCTTGCATTTATAAATACATCGTGGTATGATTTGATTTGACTGTTCATGTTGTGTCTTAAAGGTTTTTGTCTCTAGAACCTAATCCACAGAAAAATTGTTTGTCATTGGGATGTCTGTTCTAGACTCCAGAAATGAGTACATGAGTTCATAAGTGTAAAATATTTAGCTATCCCTGCTACCTAGTGAATGTTTGATAAATTAGTGGCTAAATCGCAGTTAAAGTATGAAAAAAAACTCATTAAAAGTAAACTATATATTAATGATTTACATACCTATTTTATTAGAGTTCTGTCATCAGAAAAATAGTAAATAAAGGACTGGTGCTAGGGTTGCATTAACAGTCTTTGGAACATGGTAGTTTTCTTCTAGAATCTTTGTGTCAAGTTTCATTGCAGATTGTTTCAGCAAGCAAGATCTGATTGAATGTGCAGTATGACTGCAAATCCTATTTTTTTCCTTATAAGCACTTGTGTGGATTCTGTAGTCCGTGTGTTGAATACTGAAGTGAGGCCCAAAAGTTGTAGGTTTTTACTTTTTGTCACTTTGCTCCCGTTCCCTGTGTAATAAAGTGAGTGAACGTTTAAGATGTTTGAGTTATAAATCAATCTTCAAAGGCCTCTGATCTTAAGGCCTTTTTTAGTCAATTCTTTGGTTATTTTTTATGTCTCATCAAGTCTTAGCAAATTCTAGCCTATTCTGATCTCAATTTATAGCCTGTTTATTCGATACTAAGTGAAGATGAGCCCAAGTGTTTTCTTCCATCTGCATTCAACTATTTTACGTATCATTTTGTAGCATTGAACATCGACAATTGATCCATTCGAACATGAACTAATCAATAGCAGTGATATATGCTTAAATTGAGCTGTTTTGTCCTGAATGATGAAGCACATCTGGCTGTTTCTCTTAAAATTCACTCCAGATTAAACTTTTGTTACTACTTAATACTGCTTGAAAGCAAACAAGGCTTGAGCGTCACTCACTGCCATTTTTCCTCTCTGTAGAGTCACTATTTCCTCAGCTTCCTGCATCAATCTCATTGTTGATCTGTGGGATCAGAGATCACTGCATATGGCAGCAGACATCTGTGTTTTGCAAGTGTTAGAATGTTTGTTCTAAGCTGTTCTACATACTTATGGAAATATTAATGCATAGAAAAAACAGGAAATAGAACAGTATTCTTCGTTATGCTTAATTCTACTTTAAATGTTAACAGTATTAAGGGAGCATTAAAATTGTATTTTGATGTTGCTGGAAGAAAAAAATAGCTTCCTTTTAAGATGCAAAATTATGTATTAGAAATTTTTTGTTGTTCCTTCAAAGTTAATTGTGTTGCTTATTTTAGAATAGACCTATGCTATTCTCAACATCCATGAATTTGACCATAACTCCATGACATGATTTTGCTGACGGTATTTTTTGGAGCTGGTAGTCAGTGCATGAGTGAGCCTGATACGTTGCTCAGCCTCTGCATTTCAGTACAGCTTTGTTTTCTTTTATCCTCAAGTTCATTAAGGGATATTAATCCATACTTTACATATTCTATAATTTTTTTTCTTTCAGCTTTCAATTTTGGCAAATTCCAGACTTAAAAGATTGCAGTGATAGTACAAAGAATTTGCAAATACCCTTAATCCATATTCCATAAATGTTGATCTTTTACCACATTTGCTTTATTCTTTTTCTTCATCTCTCTAAATATATAAATGGTAATTAGGCTTATTTATTTATCTATTCTTTTACTGGAGGTACTGGGGATTGAACCCAGGACCTCATGCATGCTAAGCATGCGCTCTACCACTGAGCCATCCTCTCCTCTCTAAATATATAAATAATTCTTTCCTGCACCATTTGAGAGTGACAGATATTTGCCCATTATACCTAAGTATTTATCAGTGTTTTTTTCCTAAAAGTAAGGGCATAGTCTTTCATAACCATAGTACAATGATCAAATGATCCAATTATGTCCTTATTAGCAAAAGACAGTCTGGGATCAGATCATGCATTGTATTCAGTTGTCATAGTCTCCTCTAATCTGAAATAGTTCTCCAGTCTGTCTTTTGTTTATTGACATTTCTTGGAGGGTACTGGTCAGTTATTTTGTAGTGTCCCTGAATTTGGGTTTGTCTGATGTTTCCTCATGGTTCAGTTTAGCTTATACTTTCAGCAGGAATGCCACGAAAAGTGTTCTCAGTCCATATCTTTGATATGATTTTGGTTTGTCTTATTCATTACTGGTGAGGTTAAACTTGGTTAAGATGGTATCTGCCATGTTTCTCTAGGTAATTTATAAATCCAACCCATCTTTTTAGTATGAAGACTTAATTCTTAATTCTTGATTGAAAGAATTTTAATTTACGGAGCATATTGACTCTTAAAAGTGGGATTGAGTTTTCAGGCATTTTATTACCAAGTAGTGAGAATCTTTTAATTAGGCATAGTAGCTTTGCTTTTGGCCTGTGGCAACCTTTTAAATGCATCAGTATGTCAAACCAGAGCATTTTTGACCTTCAAGAAATTTACATTGTGAGAAATGGATTTGAAGAAGGTCTAACAAATTCTGACCTAGGCTGTAGTGGAATAACTCAGGCTTCTGCCATTTTCACAATTTTTGGAGGGACTGAAGAACTTTGGCTCTCTTTGTTCCCCAGTTTGAAACTATTGCATTTAAACTTTCTTAGAATTTACTTTGTAACTTGATGCACACTTCCATTAAAGTAGAAATAGCCATATGTCTTTTTTATTTAACTTTACCTGATTGTGTTTAAAACTGTCTTATATTAATATTTTACTTTATATTTAGACCTCCTACAAGGGATCATCATATAAGAATGATAAAGCAGGATTCCTTTTCTTTCTAACATTACTTATCGTTTGGACTTCTTGAAAAGGGACTGCACAGGAATTGGTGTATCGCATACTTTTGGTTCTAAAGGAGAACATACCCTTGAAGGAGGAAAATATTTGCATCAGATTTTGCAAGTCCTGTTCCTTCCCCCTACTTAAATAGCCTTCTCTAATCAGATATCATCTAGAAGTTACCTGCTTCCTATTTTCATATCAAAGTTTTTTTTTAAGTGACACACCCAGCCATGAGAGATTTTAGGTAAATTACTTGTGTAGCCTCTTAATGCCTATTCTAACTGAAAGAAAAATTTTCTCCTAATTTTCTGGCCAACACTTACCTTTTTCTTTATTGCCTTGGGTGGCATTTTTATTAGCGAACATCTTTTTGGTGACTGGCATAAATGTAGCAGTAATCCATTTCTATAAAACAGTATGCAGTACTTGCAGGCAGTTTTAAAACACTGCTCAAATTTCTTTGTAATGAGATCTCTTTAATTATTTACTTTTGTATGTTCTCTGAGAACTCTGCCTTTTCCTCTCTTTCCTCTTTCAGCATTTGCTTTTCATGTAAGAGCCTGCAAAATATTTTTTGTTTTGGTTCCCCTAACTCAATATTCAAAACCACTTATAAAGAAGTTAAAATTTGTAGAAGGTCACATTTAATCATTTGCATTTGAAAAAGAAGAGCCATCCAGTTTGAGATTAGAGAGAAAACATAAAGAACAAACAATGAATGGTATAGTTTCACAGTAAATTGTTGATTATCTTTACTCCTTTAGCCACTAGGCTCATTGAACAACTCTTTCTGTTTACCCTTGACGCTCTTGTCCCTTCCCTTTTCAATGAAAATCTAAATGAAGACTCTATCCTTCATACCCTTTTCTTCTTTTTGAACTCTAGTCAGTAGCCTTTCTTTATTGTAATCTAATTTTTTCTCTTGGTATTTCTTCACCTTTGAACTCCTGTCAGCCTTCTCAAACATAAATTTCAGCACTCTGCCCCCTCTCTCCACAACGTAAGGTGTAAGAAAAGGTACACTAGCTGTCAGTGTTTCTGTTAGTTTGCATATTCAGTTGATTTCAACTTGCTGTTGTTCACCTTTAGGGAGCTTCGTTCTTAATTTGGAGAAAATATTAATTTAGTTAATACATGTCTTTTTCTTTAACTCTTTAGGGAAAGTTTCCAACATACCAAAAGTAGGATAGTATCATAAACTCCTGTTTAGCCACCAGCAAGCATCAGTTCAGGGCCAGTGTCTTCCTCTATTTACTCCTTCCCCCCATTATTTTGAAACAAATCCCAGCTATTACATCATTTCATTTGTACACATTTCATGATGTATATCTAAAGGGTAGGACTTAAACCTGTAGCAACAAAACCACTTAAAAGTTGGCAGTAATACCTTATTGTCCTCTGTTATCTAAACAATATTAAATTTTCTTGTCTCAAATTTTTACAGTTCAGCTTAGAATCCAAATGATGTTGATAACATTGCATTTGGTTGCTCTGTTCTTGGAGCATTTTGGAAATACAATTTCACTTTCTCTTTTTTTAACCCCATAACTTTATATTTTAAAATTTTTCAAATGTCACAGAAACAGTACAGTGAATACCCATGTATCCTTCACCTAAAATTCTGTTATTAACATTCTGCCACATTTGGTTTATTTCTCCATGAGTAAATATACTCTTTCCTCTTTGCTCAGTCTTTGGAAAGTGAATAGTAGATATTGTGGCAGTTTACTACTAAATACTTGAGCATTTTATCTCCTCAGAATAAGACATTCTTCTACCTAATCACATTACTGTATATCATATCCAAGAACTTTAAGTTTTTACAGTATTATTTAATGTGCAGTTCATGTACAGATTTCTCCAAGTATGCGCAATGTCCTTTATAGATTGGATTTTTAAAGTTTTAAGACTAGGATCTGGTCAAGGAAAACACATTGCATTGATGGAATTGTTACATATCTGGATAGTGTACAGAGTAGCCGCTGGCCATGGGTTGTTATTGAGCACTTGAAATATGGCTACTAGATGGGAGAATTGGATTTTAAATTTTATTTAATACAAGTAGGTGGGCTATAGCCCACATCTAAAGCATTTATTCCCATCTTTTCAATGTATTTTGTGACAGTAACTTTTTTGAGGAGTCTTGGCCAGTTGTCTGGTAGAATGTCCCTCAATCTGGATTTACCTAATTGTTTCCTCATGATAAATTCATTTTAAGTGTTTTCCATGTCATTCATAGGAATACATTGTATTGTTCATGTTCATAATAGGGATTTATCCCATTTTTTAGAATTCCCTTTTTGAGGCTGTTTTGGAGGGAGCACTGTGAGGACAAAGATAGATAAGATACATTCTTTGTAAGGAGTTTATATAGTCAGAGGGAAGTACTTTTAGGCATTGCAATTTAAGACCAATTAAAATATATTAAATAAAGATACTTGCTGTAGAGGAATTTAATAACATTTATTTACATACTTAGTTATTTATCAAACCCCTACTCTATGCTGTAGATACAGTTTTGGTCCTTATAGTTTGTCGACTGAAAAAGAAAGTGCAAACCTAAAAGTTGAGAATTATGTTTTATTCAGCCAACTTGCTGAAGGGCTTAAGCCTGGGAGGCAGCCTCTCACATAGCTCTGAGGGTCTATTCCAAGGAGGTAAGGGAGGAGCCAGGATATGTAGGAGTTTTTGTAACAAAAAACCAGGTAGTCTGGAACATCAAAGGATTCCTGATAGTTGAAGAAAACCAGACATCTCTACGCCAGTTGAGTTTAGTGCTTTGAGATGTTTGGGAAGATGCAAAAGTCTGGGCTCGTGGAAACCATTTCTTTGATGTGCACCTTTACTATGGAGGACTAGGATCCTGTTCTTCATCCTGAGTCCCCTCAGGGTGCACTGTTGGGTTGAGGGTGCTGCAGTGGCTGATGACTTGATGGCCCCAGCATTCTTGGTTTACTGGTAAAGCAGGCAGCATTTCTCACTCACAGGCATGTAGTGCAAGAGGTAGATGCTTAACAATTAGTTCTGATAAGTGTCATAGAAAATCTTAAGTTGCCTGTTTGAGTAGTTATTTAATTACAATTTAACTTTATTTCAAGAAGCACTGATAATTAGTATCTTTCCCTCCTTTTCCAAGAGTCCTTTGGGATTTTGACTGGTTTATGAAATTGTATCCTTCTCTACATAGCCAACAGAAATTCCTAATGTGATTGATCGTGCAAATTTATTTTTATTTTTCTGTGGTACAATGTCGGTGTATGTAGGTTTTTTGATAAGGGTAGACTGAAAATACTCTCATAGTTTAATTTAGATCTAAGTCCATAAACTATGTGTAATCTCTTTAAAACAAGATTCAATTAACTGATTGGTGAACCTTTCACTCTGAAATGGAAAACCTGTATTTCCCTTCTTATCCTAAGGGAAATTGTTAAAATAATCGGTTGACTCTAATGAGTCACTGTTTGAAAATAAAACTTATGAGTATATGTGTTGTTTGCTTAGGTTATTGGCTTTTTTTTTGGCCGATATAACTTCTGTGTATCTTTCACTATTGATGGGTCTTTTCACACTGAGTATTGCTGTTTCTCATTTTTCACTCAGAGATATACCGCATTGTTTCCCAGAAGCAAATGTCAGACAGACGTGAAAACGACATGTCTCCAAGCAACAATGTGGTTCCTATTCACGTTCCACCAACCACTGAAAACAAGCCAAAGGTGCAGTGCTGTCAGAACATATAAGGCGTTTCTCTTCTCCCCTAGAAGGCTGTGTATAGTCCAATTCCCAGGTCTGAGATTTAAATATATTTGTAATTCTTGTGGTCACTTTTGTGTTTTATTACTTCCTCATACTTACAGATTTTTCCATGTCTTAAGTCTTTTGATTTTAGCTTTATAAAATCATCCACTTGTCCCGAATGACTGCAGCTTTTTTTTGTGCTATGGCTTCACTAGCCTTAGTTTAATAAACTGAATGTTTGGATTCCTCAATTATTGTTTACTTTTCATCATGGAAGCTGTCACTGTAGGACATAATATAAACTTGATCCCTTGAAGCTCAGGCCTATTGGTCTTGACTAAATCAAACTAAGAAGACTAGAAATAAGCTATTATTTTGCCACAGAGCAGCGTATAAATTAATACACTCTTCTCTCAGTGCAGTGTATATTTCCATAAATCGAAGAATTGCCCTATAAACATAGCAGAATTTTGAGAGCTTGAAAATTTTCCATTATTCTGGAAGTCAATTTCTAAAATGCCTTAATAGGGTTATGTAGTTTAGTAAATTTTGTTTTTTAATTTTTGTAAACATCAAAGTTGATTAGATGGGGGGCACTTTTTTCTGGACAAGAATTATCTTAATAAACATAAAAGACTGATGATTTCAGTAGCAGTATGGTTATGGGGCCATATGTTGAACAATGCTGCCTGGCAGGCTGGGAATTGGAGAGACTGGTGGAGTTCCATCTGAGGTGCCTCTGTTACATTGATCAGGCAGCCCAAGTCATTTAACTTACCTAATTTCCCAGCAGTAGATTGTGTGGCATTTTATTGCTCAGGCAATAACTGGTTTAATGCTCTTAGTATCAGATTGTGAAGTGTTAATTTTGTCTTAAAACCTTCCAGTAAGTGAAATGCAACCTAGTTTTCTCACCATATCCACCAGCAGGCATGGATAATTGTTTTAACAGTGCTGATTTTTGAGTTTTGTGGTATGTTATGGAATATAGTCCAGTTAAGTATTTGGTTTCAGTATGTCTGAAGAATACAATGAGAGGTTAATTTCTGCTCAAGTAATACCACTTAAAGGCATGTATTCTTTTAGTACATAAGATGAAATAGTACCTTGAGTTTAAATAGAGTGCATTTAGGCATTGTACAAACCTGAAAGTTTTCTTCCACTACATTATTGAAATCATTGGAGCAACTCATTTCTCATTCAGAAATGTGCACACTAATATTTAGTTTTATTTTCTTGTGGATAATATTAAGCACTTAACTCTGCAGTGTTCTGAAAGTTGTGTCAACTGAAGTGATACTATTCAGGATGATGGAATATCCCCAAAATATACATATGTGTGTGGGCTTGCATAGATTACTATGTTTCATAGTTAATCTTCTGTCTTTTGCGGTGCTCATGACGTGTGGGGTGCACGCACGGAAGGCATTGCTGTGGTTCGTCATTTGAGTTTTCTTCTGTAGCCATTTTATTATTTTAGTATATTGGTTATGAAGATACTATTATCTGTTTGTAAATCACTACTTTGTATTTTATGCATGCTCTGTAACTTAATTTTTTTTTTAGTTACTGATTTGGAATATATTCACGTTCTAATAAACAGTTATAGGGGGACTGTTCTTTATGTTGTCAGATGATATTTTTCCTTTGAGTGCTTTGGATGCTGCCGTGGAATACTTGATTCTGATGAGGAAGAGCATAGGGCCTTGGGTTGTAGAGTAAATAATTGAATTGGAGGCATCATTGTGTGAATTCAGCTTTGATTTTAGGCATGTAGTTCAATTATGCTGTTCTTGGAAAAAGTATTACCAAAAACATGAGGAAAGTAATCTCTATTTGATATGTAGCAGTGTCACCAGCCCCAGGCAGAGGTTCCACCCCTAATTGACTCAATATCGGTAGTAAATTTTTTACAAAATTATTTAAGAGAAGGTAAAACTAGGTAGTGAATTGAAAGTGAATAAAGTAACTTTGAATTTTTATCAAATGTAGGCTTAATGTTGCCTTGGGCATAGTTGGATCTTGGGAGAATTCCAAGAAGTAGTAGTAGTAGAAAGTGAATTTGATTGCATTTCAACAAGTGTCTTCATTCTGAATAGTATCTCTGGACACAGACTCTCTGAAGTTAAGAGACATTAAGTTTTCAAATATGACAATTTAAGGCTCAAGGCAGTTTAGAACTATTTTGCTTTGTGATTTTGCCTTTTAGTTATTTTAACTTTTGCATTTAAAAAAAAAAAAAAACTTGTCCTGAAAAATCAGTTAGCCGTCTTGACTTGATTTAAACTTGTATCTCATTGTTCTCAAATGCTATTTATGATTTCTCTCTAATAGTAGTTGTTACTCTGTAGGGGTAAGTTTCTTAGCCATTGCATTGAGTATGCTAGATTCTAAAGAGTGGTAGCTGGTGACTTAGGCCAGAGGGTTCTGCAGAAAGTTAGACTTCTTAAGAGTTTGGATTGCCCACCAGAGTTAGTCATACTTATTTCATCATTGGGGAAATAAACATCTTAGTTTTTGTTGTCAGTGACTTGTATTTACAAAATACAAATGGTTTCCATGGTTCAAGCTATTGTGATCATCTCTTCCACATACTTTAAAGAGAAAAAAACTACTATTTAAGACAATTTTGGCCAACATCAGAAGCAGAATAATTCAAAGGCTGGGTGGATAATTAAACACTTATTGCAACCTGTTAGGTTTCAATTTAAGGAGCTTTTTTTAAATTATTAAACAAAGGCAAAAAATGGAGGTTGGTTTTCTGATGTCTCACGAACATAAGCCTGAAAAAAAATTTTTTTCAAAACAAAGTATGAATGTTGCATGAGGACTGTGCATAAGGATATCCATTCCCCAGGTGAAAAAAAATGAACAAAGACCACGAAAGGGCCTTCTTTGACCACAGCATTTAGTGGGTTAGCGTGACAGTCAGACTAGTGCTAAAGAGACGACTGCTGATTTTGTTCTGGTTGGGGCAGTGCTGGTGCTGCATCCCTTTATGGGATTTGATGGCATCTTTTCCACTCCCCTGTACAATATGCCAAATAAACTGGAGTTGTCATTCTAATGTTTTATTAAAGAATGTTCGCGCCCCCCCCCAAACTGTAGGTGCTGATGGTAACAATAAAATAATACAAAATACTAATGTCATCACGATTTATGTAAGGGAGACCATTAGGATTAGGCCGAGAGAGAATTTTAATTGAAGTATCCATTTTCCTGAAAACTGATTGGAGGATAGAGAAATATTTTAAAGGAAGTTGGTACTAGGAATATATTAGAAGTATGCTGAACTCCGTGTTAAAAGACTGAAAGGGGCAGGTATAATAGAGCGCTGGACTAGGTGACAAAGATGTGGATTCTAGGCACAGCTCTTCTAGTCATCTTTGAGCCTCACTTTCTTCCAGTTAATGAGGGGACTAGATTAGTCATTTCTGGGGTTTACCCCAGCTTTAATTGAATAATTCTATGAATGAACACTTTCTTCAGGTACTAGAGCCAAATTATTATACATTCTAACTAAAATTTAATAGAAAGTAAAAATCAGGTATGTACTTTGCAAGATGTTTTTGGTCTTAACAGTAACTTGATTAAAATGCTATCTTTATTTCCCTATTAACACCATTAAGTAAAATGAAAACTTTCAGTACATTTGCAAAACTGCCATCAGTTTCAAAAATATGCATCAAAGTGTACCATATATACTAGGAGGGAGGAGCACTCAAGGGGCTGCCCTGTCAACTATGAGCCGAGAACAGCTTGTGTTTTGGCTTTTACTGTTAAAAGAAAATTCTGTTGGCTTTTAAGATATACTTTAAGATATATTCACGCATGGGAGAGAGAACTTTAAAATACATTTTGTGTTTAGCTTTTTTTTTTTTTTAATTGTCTCTAAGAGGAATCTACTGTGAGGTGGTCAGTCTGGGGACGGATTCCACCAATAGAACCAATCATTAATTCCAAGTGTATAGATTTATATTTGGCTATTAATACAGTAATCTAATTATTAGTAGTCTAAACATTTGAATTCAATTATTTAACATTATTAAGCATGGGATTGGTAGGTCCTGGCATGGATGTCATGTATATTGGCTATTTTCACTACTGTGTAATCAGTCCCTGTGATGGTGGTAAAAATTAATAACTAACAGAATTCCTTTCCTGTGTTTGAGTCACTGAAACTTAACCTTGCCCCAAACCACAGAAACTCAGACCTTGTTATCAGCATCCTAATGAGTAAGTGTACTGTTTTTAGCACTCATTGTCAAGGCTCTGGAGGGCTAGAAAATGGCTTGGGAGGCAGAAACTGGAATGAGGAGATAATCTGACAACTGTTGATACAGACCAGAGCTTCTACCTTCTGTGGGTTTGGATTGGACAACTGCTCAGTCTTCCTAGCTCTGCAAGTCAGGGAAGAAAATGTATAATCACCACCCCATTGATCACCAGGGCCCTCCATTTATCCCTGCCCATTTGTAACTGCTACGTAGTAAAATGCATAAGGGGAGGGAAAGTGCTTTGTTCATAGTTGGACATTCATAATATTTACCCCTCCTACAACCTTGTAGGAGGACATTAAGGAAGTACCATCTAAAAGATGAAGGGCTAGTCTTGGGGTTCATTCTCGGGGTTCATTTAGCTTGGGGGAGCTACAGTCTGATAATTACCATTCAGATTAAACATTTAAAAATACGAATTGTTATATAAAATTACTGTATAAATAATATGTAATAAATATTATACACAAGTACAAATAATAGGATAATGAACCCCTTATGTATCCAGCTCCCTTCTGAGATAGATTTTCTGTCTTCTGTTGCTACATACAGGTTAATTGGGCCTCTTCTGGCCAAATGAGCGGCTAATAGTATCATTCTTGAGTCTTCTGTATTGAGTGTACAACCTGCAGCCCTTGGTTATCATTTATGATACTAGGTAGCATTCTGAGTCTCGTAAGTTATAATCTTTCCCTATTATTCTCAGCAAATACCTTTTTTAGCCTTTTAACTCTTGATTATGTTTTGTCTTTCACTCAGATGCCAAAGCCCCAGCCTTTGAGAATTATCTGTTAGGAAGATCTTTTTTTTGAACGAGTATTATTCTGTAACTAGCAAACATACATTATTCTTGGTTAAACATTTTATTAAATGGAAATAACTTAAATAACTTTTGAGTATCATGTAAGCCTTGTGAACTGACAAGTTGAAAGGTTTTAGTTTAACCTAAGGATGAGGATTACATACAAAACTTTGAAAGTATGAGGGAGAAACTTTAAACATACCATTGAATGCATTCAGTTAGCTATTTTTTAGCATCTATACTTTATTACAAAATCAGTCCTCCTACTTCTTTACCAGTTAGGTCACAAGGTTATATTTTTAAAAGGTCCTAAAACAGTTATACCCAGAGTACTGTATTGGGTGATAACTTCTGGCAGACAGCTATTCACTGTACTTATGCAAATTAGGTGGCCCTTAAACTTGCCTTTATTCCATTTCATAGAAGCACCTTTGTGCCCCTGGAGCTGAGCACAAGTTGTAGTTGTCTCTGAGTCCAAATCTCTGTGAAAGCAGAGAAATTCTTTGAGTATACTGATGTGTATGAAATTTTTTCAATAATTTTTAGACATGAATAAGAATGTATTGCATCCACTCATTACTTTTAAAGGAAGAGACTCTCTTGTTATAAATTTGATAGAGTCGTTTCACTTTATTTTCAAACGTCTGTTGGGATGATTTTCACTTCTCTGGCTGACCACACAAAATGTAGGTTAGTTCTACCTTTAAACCTAAGGTGTAGATTCTAGACACATTTTCAGTTTGCAACACAACAGTACGCATTCTTGTTAAATTAGTTTGAGAAATTGATTTTATTTTGTACAAGGTACAATCCCTCTGCACAGTGAATAAATATATTACAAATCTGGGTTGTTTAAAAAAAGTATTGCCATTTCATAGTTACGCTTTTGTACAGTAATTGTACTTTTCTTACTCATTTGAATTGCATACACATCACTTGGAGTGAAAACTTAATTTCTGTAAAATAGTTGAACAGGTCTTTCCAAGTTGTCAATAAAATGCACAGTGCACATGTTTAGGTTGACCATGAACCTGTTTGTGACAGTGCTAGATGGAAGTTGCTAATAGTTGCTCTGTTGGATTGAAATGTCTTTAACAGTAACGCTTAGGTATCTGAAGGCAGCTGTTGTTACAATAGCTTAATTATACTTTCTGCCTTTCCCTTCTCCACCGTATTGCCTGATTTGAGCTGTATTACATTTCTTTAAAAAACAAAGAATTCTAGAGCTGAAGGGTTGTTAGAGCCCACTTACCCCTCTCTGCTTCTTCCTTTTTTTTTTTAATACCCTGGGGGAAAACCCAGAGAGGGCAAGTAACACAGATCTCTTGACCCAGTGCTTCAGCAATTCCACCTTGCCATCTCTTGCTGAATTTTGCCCAGAAGATAGTTGGCAAAAAAGAGGTGAAGCTTGAAACTTGCATGATGCTGCTTGTTTGCAGTTTGCCAGGCAGCAGTTACTGTACATGCAGGGTATGGGAAGGAAAAACCTGGGACTGAGACGAAGTTTCTCCTCACTGACGTGACTTCACCATGCCTCTTGATCCTTACTTGACAAAGATATTTGAGCACTTGGTGCCCCGAAATACTGAGGTAAGTCTCTTATCTATATTTCTTTTTACATAAATATGAGAAACATTTACTTGGGCCTACAAAGTAATTTTCTATTGTTATATTTTAATAAGGCTTTTATTGGAAAGTTAATTTGCTATTGCTGATCACTTGCTCCCATGCACACATGCAGCATTCATGTAAGTATTATATTTTCCCCTAACAATAAAGTTTGCTTAAGCCTTGAGTGAAGTGGGGGAGGGAGAATTTACTCATTTATTTTCTTGCTTTTGCTGGTTATTGACCAAACTAATGGGTTCCGTGGCCGACTTCCAATGTGTATCAAGGGCTTCAGAACTCCCACACTTCCTGGAGCAGCTGTTCCAGCTTTGCAGTCATTTACAGTCATTTAGTTCCTCTTCTGTATACCTTTTTGGCAGGTTTTTGTTTGTTTGTTTTTTTACTGGCTGGACTGTTAATCAGAGAATGGAGTACTATAGGGGTGGCCATCAGTTTCCCCAGGTTGCCCTTTTGGTCTTTAATTCTTGTGAGGAGGTCCTCTTAGGGCTTGGAAGTGGCTCCATTTTGACTCATCTGAGCCCCAGTTTACATATATGCATTAGTAGTGGAAGGTACAGGTGCACCTAAATCCTGGGATCCGGAGCGTTTAGCTCATAGTAATACATTTTTGGCCATCTCAGGTGGTGGTTAGAAGGTAGAAGTACTTCATATAGTTATATGCTGAGTTTTTACATCATGTTACAGCAATTGATTATTGCCCATTCTTTCTTTGATCATTTCATTTAGTTCCATCAAAAAGCATAATATACTTTATAAACAACTTAAACCTCCTATATCCACTTCTGTCTAATTCCTCTACACATTTGGGTTCCATACTACATCGAGCTCAAGATTTATGAAGAAATGCTTGAAAGCAACTACTCTTCTGAGTCAGGAAATGCCAACCAAATACATTTGGGAGGCCAAATAACCGTTTTTAGGGATATCTAATTCTTACCAGTCTGTGACTGCTTGTTTAAAGCATCATCTGCGAATTCTATTTCACATGGAATGACTCGGGTGTTGGACAGATTAAGGCAAGGCCAGGACCGACTTGCAATGTTCTTGAACTTTGAATTGGCAAGATTTGGTAAAGCTGGCCTAGAAATCATTGTTTTAGACAAAAAGGCTGCTGCACTTTGGAAACGTTTTCTCCTACCACCACCAGGGGCAGAAGAGGGAAAGTTAAATTGTTTTGCTTGTTTTCCTTGTCTTATGAGGGGAAGGTAATTAGCTTTATTCATTTATTTATCTTTGGAGGAGGTACTGGTACCGGGGGTTGAACCCAGGACCTTGTGTGTGCTAAGCATGCACTCTACCACTTGAGCTATACCTTCCCCCGGGAAAGTTAATTTGTATTTATTAAAGTCTTACTTAAAAAAAACTGTGAGCATTAGACTATATGCTAAGTTCTGTAATCCTGGCTGTTATAATTTGATTGACCTGACATATATGTGTGTGTACTTTAGGATTGATATTAGCACAGTTTGTGTCTATGTACTAATTATCTTAGGTAATAAAACATGTTGAATGTAACAGGAACCAAAAGTACATATACATTTCAGGTGCTTCAAAGTAATCTCCCTCCCTCCCTCCCTCCCCTCCCCAGTCCCCTTCACCCCTTAGGAAAGTTGGTAAAACCTATTCTGCATGCTAAGCATCATGTTTCAGATAATTTAATATATAAATATATATATATATATTTAGCTGATTTTGATGAGTAGCTGTATCTTAAATGTTTTAAAAAATCATATAATCCAGGGCATTTGGGGTTGGGGGTGGGTAGGTGGTAGAATTTGCCTTTGTGAGTGTACTTTTTGAACAATTACCCCAGTCCCACTTGGAAGCTCTTCTTTAGTTCCAGGTGAACGTTACAACTAACACGCAGCTGGAGTCAGTCTGTACCGTTATTTCAAGTCAAGGGATTGTCTTCTTTCAGAGTCTGAGAATATTCAGCAGAGCACATTGCAAGAGAGAGGCTTATCCCTCTTAAGACTGCTTGTCCTGGGAGGGCCCTTTGGCAGGGCTCTGTCTTACTGGGAGGAGGTCATAGTGACCAGGAATATGGCTGTTCCTAGGTAGGTCGTATGGATTCTGGATAAAGCTGGAGTTACAACCACGGCCTTCTTGGACCACACTGACTGTGGGCTCTAAGGAATATAGTGAAAAATGAGTTCAGAGAACAGATTAGCTTTCGTTGCCTTGTTGGGGGCAAGAGAGTTCTATTTAACTTGGTGGGGGAAGAGGAGGGATTTATAATTCTATGATAAATGTATGAGGGTTAGGACTGAAGCTTGTTCAAGAGATGGAAAACCTAAGTGAGTGTGCTATCAGAATCCCAAGCTCTGGTCAAAACCAAGGGCCTTAGAACATCCTAGAGGTTGGGGTCTTAGCAGTGAGCCCGGGGACCTGGGTTAAACTGGGAGAAAGTAGGTGATTTAGACACTTGTAAATGTCTGTTCTGATTGTTTTCTTTTTTAAATAGGAATTGATACACAACAACCGATTGGAGTGTATGTGTCCTGACTCCCCATCCCCAGTATTTCTGCTTCTTACTAGTCCTAGTGTTTTTTTAAAGTGGAGTTAGCACAAGAATTTGATTCTTATATGAGAGAGGAGGGCAGTCCTGGGAAAGACAGTTTACCCTGGATTCCTTAAAAAGCAACAAAAGAAGAGTGTATTCAAAAGAGGGGGACTAAAGGGGGCTTGTTTTTATCTCAGATGTTGCACTAGTGCCCTGATTTCACTAAGTTACTTATTTGAGACACCTACCAACTTCATATATATTTTTATTAGATGTCGACAAGGATGGCACATCTGTGTATGGAGACCCCCTGTGCACAGGCGACTTCATTTCTACGTAGCTGCTTTCTGGAAGCTTGCAGGTGAGGATGGGTGGGTCCTTAATTGTGGCGTAAGGGTTTTCACTGCTATTCAGGGAACAAGTGCTAGAGCTGCAGACGGACTCTTTCATGTAATCTGCAAGGCAAGAGAGAGTTCTCAGGACAAGCAAGGACATGGGATTTAAACACCAGAAGCAGACTGCAGTCGAGTTTATGTGTCTTCAGGATCCTGAAGCTGTAAAAGCCTGTGACAATCCAAGATTCACTTACTAAATGTGTTGAGGAGTGCTTTCCTAAGTAAGCAGAGTTCTTTTCTAAAGAAACTTAGGTTTTTTGGAGGGATAGGAACGTTTTTGTTTCAGTAGTCAGGAATAGCACCAAAAAGGGATTAATTCGAGATATTTAGAATATGCTTTCACACCTATAATTTCTATAAAATCCTGCAAGGATAGTTGATTGTTTGCATTTTATAGGATGATGGCCCAGAGAGATGAAGTGACTTGGCTAAGGTCACACAGCTCATAAATGGCAGTGCCAAGGCTTGAATCCATGCCTTGGGATTCCTTGGCCTATGTATTTTCTGTGGTATCATTCTTCTTTTGAACTCTTTTTGATGACTCAGCTTAGGTTCAGAAGTAGGTGTGTGATTTGGCACAAGTGTCAGCCATTCGGCAACCTTCAGGCAGCAAACTGGTGGTATTCCTGTTCTCGGAAAGCTCGTGATTAGAGGCGGGGCAGACTGAAGTGTAATAGAGGTATAAAAAGCACCTGGGTCTCAGGCTGGGCTTTGGAAGGTTCCTGTTTTCTAGCAAGCCTGCCGTGTATCCTCTGGAGTCACTTGCTCCAGTTCTTGTGAATGTAACTGAGATCTGTTTTAGCAGTATCTTTCTGTTACTGGGAAAACCCATGCTGCTGCTTCTGTCATCTCTCAGGTGCATCATCCCCACGACTTTAGGGTATGTTAGGGTACAAAAAGATGCAGGCTAGTTTCCAAATATGAAGCCAGGTAACTAGCTCACTGGAGGAAGAAGATTCTCTTTGTGATTAAGAGTCACAGAAGGAAAGGGTTCCTTTAACCTCTATGCCGTTTTCCCTTTTGGGGTAAGATTACTGCCTCCTGTGGATTGTTTCAAGTGAAGCAGGAAGAAAAAGCAGGAGACATGCTAATCTGGCAACTCTGGCCCTAATGCTTCTGTGAGGCTCTGCCAGCCGGGGATGGGGGGAGGTGTCTAGAAATAAGCACTGAGTTGCAGGGGCTTCACAGTCAAGAGCAACCTAAGAAGTCTACTTTTCTGTAAGTGCTAGCAGATGGTGAAATTTCTGTATTTCTCAGCTCTAAATTTCTGTAAGTGCTAGCAGATGGTGCAGTTCTTGGATGATCTTTCACTAGAACCACCACAAATTACATTTTGGGCTGCTATTTATCTATGCTTTCTGCCTCCAACTTGTGGCAATTAATGAAAATGTAAAAAAAATGAAAGTGGTGATGTGACTGGATGTACCTTGGTCCAGTGAGAGCAGAACGTCCCACGTGACTGAAGGAGTTGGCGTGGCCACCACAGTAGTCGTTTCTCCCACAACAGGTAGCTTGGTTGGGAGGGGATTTGCTGTTTCATCAGTGCAGGGTTATTTATGTTTGTTTCAAGCAGGTAACACTTCCTCATTCTTGTACAGGAGTACGTCCACCCATTAGTCTCTTCAAGCGTTCAGAACACCCAGTGATGTAGGTAGAGCAGTAATTATTATTCTCCCTTCCCCTTTATTGCTCATGAGGAAATTGAGGTTTGAATAGGGAAGTGATCGCCCCACGGTCACACTGCTCATCAGCATTAGAGCAAGCTCCAGAACCAGGCTCAGAGCACTTTGCATCACACCTTAGCCCGCGAGTAAGAGAGAGATGCTGGCCTTGGGTCCTGTCTTAGATTGTGGCCTCTTTCTAACATAGAACTATAGAGAGGAGGAGAAAACATTCTTGCTAGGCCACGAGCAGTCCCAGCCAGCCCCACCAAGGCCTAAAGGGAGGCTGGACTGGCCCAGCTGCTGGTGAGGCTCTCGGCGGGGAAAGGTGGCTGTGGGTCCTGGGCTGTGACCTGCCTGAGCTACATGAAATTGCCTCTAGTGAGTACTTTTTTTCTTAGTATAAAGGAGTAGGGGTTAAGTCCAGGAACCCTAGCTGGCCCATCAGCCCCACTTTGGGTTCTCTGAACCTACCAGCCAAACAGTAGCACAGTACGACTCAGCTGTTTGTGTGGAAGCTGAGGACTACTAGCATTGCTTAAAGAAGGGCTGTCCCCTGCCTGAAAAGCCCTAACACCTCCCCCCCGCCCCCTTCCCCATGCAGGCGCATCCTTTTGATAGGCAGCTGACTCAGCTGCATGTTTTCTAAAATTTGAGGAATAGCGATAGCTCACTTAGTAGCACGTATAGCTGGGCCTTTAGTCAGTCAGGTTAGATCATTTGACATTTGTTACATCTGTGAAGAGGGCCTGGGCAGGAAGGACAAGTATTACTACTTTAGAAATGAGGAAACTAAAGCTCATAAGTTTTGCTTAAAATTAGTAGTTAAGTTGGGACTCAACGCCTGCCTTCTCTGATACTCAGTCCAGGTGTTTTCCCCTCCCATCTTGTTACCCGGTACTCCTGTTGTGTATCTTAAATGCAAACTGTGTCTGCAACAGCTTCACCTTACCCCCTTTTACCTGTGGGGCCAAGTCCTGCTGAGAAGGGCCAAGCTCTAAGCTTTCTGTCTAAGCTGACTTAAGGCAGTGAAAGACGCTGCAAGTTCTAGCTCAGTGCCCAGCAGAGCTTCAGCCAATCAGCAGTGCCCCTCTCATTTCCACCAGAAGTTAGGGCTGCTCTCAAGTTTGGGGAAACAAATTGTTTGCAGCTGGGGATATGCGCCTGAATGGATAAAAGAGAAGCTGGGGTTCATGGGAAAGGGGATTAGTCTCAGGGAGAAGCTGTATCATCTACAAAGGGGCCACAAAGGGCGGAGAGGTGTGTGTGTGTTTTGAGGTGGTGGGGGAGGGTGTTGAGATTATGGAATAATCTGGAATCTATTTCTGGGAACAGGGCTGAGGGAAAGGGCAAGCCCAGCTGGAAAACTGCACTTCAGGAAGCTACTCCTTTCTCCTGTTGAGTCATCCACCTGCCTGCCTGAGGGCGGGCGGGGTAAGGGGAAGAATAACCAGCTGCCCTAAGACACTTCCTCGTCTTTTCACAGCCCCACCTCTGTGCTAGTCCCTGCACTTCAGGGCATGTTGCAAAGAAAGGGGAAGCGGCAGCCAAGGCTACCCAGGCTCTGGGGACTCACTCCTCCAAGGCCTGTCATTAGTATCAAGCCTGAAGGTTTAGCCCGGTAATGCCCTGGCTTTTGTTCTCATCTAGTTCCTACCTCCCCCAGATCACATACAG